TTTTTAAATCATCCTGCAGGCTCTGACATGTTAGATAAATTTGAAAATGAGCTTTTGAAAAAATTTGTGAGATTGCTCTGTACGTCTGTATACCTGCAAAATGACGTAAAATCCTTATAACTTACAGATAATCTGTACAATTGGACATGCTTATTGTTATTTATTTGCTTTCTCAGAAAGCAAATAAATCTAAGTTTACCATAGTACCTTGCACTGTCAAACTTGATTTTAGGGTTTAAATTGGGGTGGGTGGGACATAGTTCGGGCGGGGGGGCTTCAACTCGCCTAGGGCACAAAAAAGGCTAGAGCCAGCACTGACTAATGCACCCCCAAAACTTCAGAGAGGCTGGTTTTTGAACTTAGTGCTGATAACAATCCAGACAGTCCTTTTCTTCTTTGTCCTGGAGGACTCCACGTCCATGATTTCCAAAAACAATTAGAAATGTGGACTCGTCCGACCACAGGACACTTTTCCACTTTGTGTCAGTCCATCTCAGATGAACTCGGGTCCAGAGAAGCCGGCGGTGTTTCTGGGTGTTGTTGATATCTGTCTTTGCATGACAGAGCTTTAACTTGTAGATGTAGAGATGAACTGTGTTCACTGATGATGGTTTTCTGAAGTCCTCCTGAGCCCATGTGCTAATGTCTGTTTCAGAATGATGTGGGTTTTTAATGCAGAGCTGCCTGAGGGGTCAAAGTTCACGGGCATTCAGTGTTGGTTTCCAGTCTTGCTGCTGACTTGCAGAGATTTGTTCACAAAGTGGTGAACCTCACTCCATCCTTGCTTGTGAATGACTGAGCCTTTCAGGGATGCTCCCTTTATACCCCATCCCAGTCTTTTGTTGCTCCTGTCCCAGATTTATTAGAACGTGTTGCGGCATCAAATTCAAAATGAGTTCAAGAAAACGTTTCTCCATCTGAACATTAAATATCTTGTGTTTGTAGTGTGTTTATCTGAAAATAGGTTGAAAAGGATTTGCAAATCATCATTTTCTGTTTTTATTTATGTTTTACACAACGTCCCATCCTCATTAGAGTAAGGGGTGTAGAACTGTAAGAAATCTAACTTTATTTTAAATTCATCAGAGAATGCCTTTAAAATCAAAACACAAATGAATAAAAGAAATAAAAAAACACGTTTCATAAAAAAAAAACACTGAATCCTCTGTTGCTGCTGCGATCCTTTAAAATAAATAAATAAATGCCAACCTGACATGTTTCTGTTTATCTGTGATATAAAGTAAACGTACGTCACCAGCTCCTCTGTGGCGTCTCCCTGATCATCTTCATCAACAGCAAACTTGGCTCTGAGGGAGCGAGCTCTGGTGATGACTGTCTCCATTTCCACTAACTGCTTAATAAAATCCTGCAAGAGGAAACGTCCAACAGATACATTCATTAAAACAGGAAGAGACACAATAACAGTCAGTTTAACACCACAGATCACAGGCTGTGTTTTGATGTAAGGGTTTACAGGGTGATAAACACTTTGACACGTTTCATATATTTAGGTTCAGTTCAATGACTTGTTTAAAAAAGCTGCTAAAGAATTTTATGCAGATGAAAACAGAGTGATGTCTGATCTTTGGAGGAGATGTTTGAAATGTAAAATACAGTAAAATACGATTGGAGCTGTTCGATGTGTGCATGTGAGGCAGCACCAGAGTCATGCAAAAGCCAGAACACTTCTTAAATAGATTTTAGGAATTGAAATATGAATATGTTGCGCAGGGAGTTTATAAAATCCCTGTTCTGTATATTAAAATGATTTGTTACTAAACAGGAAGCAAAAGGAGCTAAACTGTGGAAAGTTTTTATTAAAGTCCCTAATGGAGGCAGATTTTCTTCTATCTGACATTAACAGGAATGTTTTGTCATTTTTAAAATAAGGATTTAAGATAAACGTTTTTACTGTCAGAAAAGCAGAAACAAAGACAAACTGTATGGAATAAAATATATAACAAAGATAATAATAATAATAATAATGCATTAGTTTTATATAGGGATGTCCCGATACCACTTTTTCACTTCCGATACGATACCGATATTACAACTTTGAGAAATGTCCGATACCGATATTGACCGATACCGATATTGACCCGTTACTRTAACAGTACAAGTCACACACTTTTACCTATTTTGTA